GAATACATTCATCAAATGTCGTAAATAGTTTAAGGGAAATTCGGGCTCGAAGTGGTATCGTTAATCCCGTTGCCGGCTCTTTTCACAATTATTCAATCACCATGTCCAATTCACAGATACATTTTTTCTGAGGGGTTGCTTGCCTTTTCTTTTTCTAGGGCTTGGAGCCCGGGGACCAGTGAGCCTACTGTGACAGAACCTGCTCAACGGGCGAAATGGGTGTAATGAGGACAGCATGACAATGCAAAATCTGCAAGATTCCTCCAGGAGCAAACAGCCAGGGCCACATTGACACGCATTCACGGTTTACTGTTTGTGCGTTTTGGCATGTTTTTGGTAGTTCATTCTCATCTCGGGGGTTTGCTGAAATTCCAATGCCAATGTCGGTGTATGCAGTCAAGTGCAAGCGTGTTTTCTTCTGGCTTTTGTTTGTGCGTGTGTGTGTGGGTGTGTCTTGTGTGTGTGTGTGTTGAGTTGTGTTATGTTTTTGTGTTTGCATTTTGTTGTCGCGAGTGTGTGTGTGTGTGTGTGCGCGCGAGTGTGTTTGTTTGCTTGTTTTCTTGTTTGCTTGATTGTTTGTTTGTTTGTTTGCTTGCTGGTTTGTTTGTTTGTGTGGTTGTTTGTTTGATTGTTGTTTGTGTTTGTTTGTTTATTTGGTTGGTTGGTTGGTTGGTTGGTGGGTTGGCTGTTTGTTTGCTTGCTTGCTTGTTTGCTTGCTTGTTTGTTTGTTTTGTTTTGTTTGCTTGTTTGCTTGTTTGCTTGTTTGCTTGTTTGCTTGTTTGTTTGTTTTGTTGAACGCGCTTTTGTGTTTTTTGTTTGTTTGTTTGTTTGTGTGTTTGTGTGTTTGTGTGTGGGTTTGTTTGTTTGTTTGTTTGTTTGTTTGTTTGTTTGTTTGTTTGTTTGTTTGTTTGTTTGTTTGTTTGTTTGTTTGTTTGTTTGTTTGTTTGTTTGTTTGTGTGTGTGTGTTTGTGTGTTTGTTTGTGTGTTTGTGGTCGTTTGATTGTTTGTTTGTTTGATTGTTTGTTTGTGTGGTTGTTTGTTTGATTGTTTGTTTGTTTGTGTGTGTGCGTGTTTGTTTGGATTGCTTGCTTGTTTGAATGTGTTTTGTTGTTTTTTTGTTTGGTTGGTTGGTTGGCTGGTTTTCTTGTTTGTTTGTCTGTTTTGGTTTGGTTTGGTTTGTTTTGGTTTAGTTTGGTGTGTTTTGGTTTGTTTGGTTTAGTGTGTTTTCGGTTTAGTTAGTTTGTTTGGTTGCTTGCTTGTTTACTTGTTTGTTTGTGCGTTTGTTTGTTTATTTGTGTGTTTAAATACGTGTGTGTTTGTTGGTTGGTCGTTCGCTTGGTTGCTCGCTTGGTTGGCTGGCTGGTTGCTTTGGTTTTGTTGGGTTGGGTTGGGTTGGGTTTGTTCCCAACAGCTTTAGATGCTTTGTGGCAGTCTCCGTTTGGCAGGGGGGTTCGCAGCATTCGTTGCATCACCGCCCGCGTGCAAAGGGTGCGCAAACCGGAAGGGGGGGGCAGGGGGTGAAGGTGTGCAAGCCAGCAGGGGTATCTGCGGGTATCTGAAGCAGGTGTGCTTGCCCCCAAAGATTTTGGGTTTCCCAAGCCCAGGTCTGTTGATTTGCTTGTGCCAAGCAAATAGTGTGAAGCGAGGAGACAAGCTGCTGGGGCGAGGGTGTCAAACTCAAACAAAAACCTGTAAAGGTTTTGCGTTTGCCCAAGCTATGGCACGTGGCCGCTTGTCAGGGAATGCAGGAAGACTACGGCAAATGGCAAACTACTTCTTTCGCAAAGCCCCCTTTTGGGGGGGGATAATTCCCGCCTTTTGGTCCGTACTTGATGGGGCTTCTTCTTGACAGAGACATGTCCAAACAAGGGGGTTGGCACAGCCCTGCCAAAATGAGCTCAAACACTAGGGCCGTTTGGCATGTAACGACGCCCTCAGGCCTGAACTGGCGTGCGTGAGTCAAGCGCTGGGCTTGTGGCTTGCCACTTGTGGCAAGGGAGGGAGGGTGGCCGCTTGTTTGAAGCTAATCTTAAACGATTGGCGTTGCCCGTCATTACTCTTTGAAGTACGGTGTTGTGGCTTGCCTTGAAGTGTTGTGTTTTGTTTGAGTGAGTGAGTCGGCACCGAAATGCGTGAGCTGGTTTCCAAGCTACGTAGTGGGTGCATGTTTGCGTTTCCACATGACTTTCAGGGAGAGCCGCGGTCGAAGGGCGCAGGCCGGGCTAGGGGGAGAAACCGCCCGGGCGAGAGCTACAGCCCTAGCTCGCTTCATCGAGGCACGGTCAGGGGCTGAATCATGGATGCGGGCCGCCGGGCTTAGGCAAAAAAGGCATGGTTCGACATGATCTGGTGCCAACCCAAGCCTAGCCAGCGCCCCAGCCCGACCGCGAAGCTCTGGGAAGATTCCCTGACCAAAGGTTGCTGGCTGGCTGGCTGGCTGTTGGGCGGTGGCTATCTCGTTGGCTGGTTGCTATGTTGCTTCGGTTGCTTGCTTGCTTGCTGGTTGGTGGGTGGGTGGGTGGGCTGGTTGTTGTTGCTGTTGCTGTTGCTGTTGCTGTTGCTGTTGCTGTTGCTGTTGCTGTTGCTGTTGCTGTTGCTGTTGCTGTTGCTGTTGCTGTTGTTGTTGTTGTTGTTGTTGTTGTTGTTGCTGTTGCTGTTGCTGTTGCTGTTGCTGTTGCTGTTGCTGTTGCTGTTGCTGTTGCTGTTGCTGTTGCTGTTGCTGTTGCTGTTGCTGTTGCTGTGCTGCTGCTGCTGCTGCTGTTGCTGCTGCTGCTGCTGCTGCTGTTGTTGTTGTTGTTGTTGTTGTTGTTGTTGTTGTTGTTGTTGTTGTTGTTGTTGTTGTTGTTGTTGTTGTTGTTGTTGTTGTTGTTGTTGTTGTTGTTGTTGTTGTTGTTGTTGTTGTTGTTGTCGTTGTCGTTGTCGTTTGTCGTTGTCGTTGTCGTTGTCGTTGTCGTTGTCGTTGTCGTTGTCGTTGTCGTTGTCGTGTCGTTGTCGTTGTCGTTGTGGTTGTCGTTGTCGTTGTCGTTGTCGTTGTCGTTGTCGTTGTCGTTGTCGTTGCTTGTGGTGTTGTTGGCGTGGGGCGGGCGGGCGGGCGGGCGGGCGTGCGGGCGGCGGGCGGGCGTGCGGGCGTGCGTGCGTGGGTGTGTGTGTGTGTGTGATTGTTTGTGTGTGTGTGTGTGTGCGTGTGTGTGATTGTTTGTGTGTGTGTGTGTCTGTCTGTGCGTGCTTTCGTGCTTCTGTGTGTTTGTTTGTGTGTGTTGGTCGACCCGTCGGTCGGTCAGCTAGTAGGTCGGTTTTTTTCTTTGGTTTGTTTGTTGAGCGCTTGCGCATTTGTGTGCAAAGAAGTTGATGCCCGGCAACAGGGTATTCACACGCATGCGTGCAAGCTTTTTGCGTGTTGGGAGCTTTTCCAGATGCACTTCCCATAGCTTACGTTGGGTCAACGCAGATTCTTTGCGGGAGTTGCATGGTTCAACCACGTCGACTATCGCAAGGGTTCGGTTCTCCTTCAGGAGTCAAGACAGGGGTGATCTCCGGCAATCACATGGCGCGGATCTCGGAGGCATCTGCCACCTTGTCCAGAATGACAGGCGCGGGCTCTTTGCGTGGCAGGGAGTGGACAAGTGCAGCAGTCGGGTTCAGGTAGCAATGAGCAATGCCAGGAGAATAATTAGGTGTGTTGCCTGCCAAGCACAGGTAGGGAGTAATTCTTTTCAGATTTAAGTTTGAGTGTAGCTTTCAGGATCAAATCGGTGTGTTAAAACTTGTGAAGATGCATCGATACGTAACAATTGCGTAGTAATTGAGGTTTACGATTGCATCCAAAGGCTTTAAGAGCTTAGTCTTGCAGGCCGAAGGCCTGCATAGATAAGCGATATTTCTTGTTGAGAATTGCTCAGCAATCTTTGCAAGCAGGTAAATCTTGCTTGCTCTGCAAGCAATTCTCTGCAGGCGTCTTTTGCAATATCATAACAAGATTAAGGCGTGCTTATAGTTCTGAACATTATCAATTCCAATATATTGTGTTGCTTACATTTGTGCAGACATGTATTTGAAGTGCAAGTAGCTTATGTTGTGCTCATATCTATGAACAGCAAATACTTGCTTTGGATGTTTAGAGGCCTCATGGCCTCTAATATCTATGATGCTATGATGAACATGAAATACTTGCTTTACAATTGTTTACTTGCAGGGTCACCCAGAACTGACAGTCCATTCTGCTAAGGGGTTAGCAACTTTTTAGGATGGAAAATCCCGTTGAACCTCAAAAAACATTGTATGACAACAACCTTGGGGCACAGCTTCCATAGCAGTTTGACGCGGTTCAACTGGGGAGCTGCCTGAAAAGGACCACAGCAAAGCATGTTTTTGAAAGCAGTCCGATACCCAAGCTTTGCAGATATTGGCACTGACCAGCTGCATGTCAGCTTGTGTGTGTGTGCAATGAGCGCGTAACTACTCCAGAGCTTTGTCACAGCCGTTGAAGGTCAACATTTGAAGTGGTTCACAACTCCCATAGATTTGCATGGTAGGGCGACCATTGAAGAATCCAGCGTGGGCTAGCCGGCTCTGGCGCCACGCAGCCTGCGAGGCATGGATTCAGAGGACTGGCGAACGTTCCGGAGCAGAATGGAGTATGATGGGAACATAGATTCCGCGCACTTAAAAGGAATAGCACTGTGTCATTGATGGCTGCAATCATACAGTTGCCCGGCAAGGTAAACTCGCAGGCCTTTTTGTACACGCCTTCCAACCAAGCGCTCAAGCCGCGTCAACATACATCCGCTCGACCCAACAATCTGACGTTGATGTACCACCCTGCTTTGGCCTAATGGAAGGAGGTAATTATATCGGAGCTTTTGGCAGGGTTCTTTTTTGCAAAGAATCATGCTTGCATGAATGAGCTTGAGATGCCGATCCGAAATTGGAGTGGAGATGGTAGTGACGGAAGGTAGCATTTGCGGGTGTGAAGCTTTGCAACCAACAGTCACACACCAGCGCTGTTATGAGTCGCAGCATGATGGTTGGACTGTGGTGAAATTGAAGCCTGCAGCCGAAGCCGACGGCATCTATATAGGTGGTTTGCTCAACTGTCAGTCGACCTGATTGTTTGAGACCCGCAAAACGTATTGTTGCTAAGGGGAAACCAAAGAGAGTGGGACGCCCTGTGGGCCCTGGTTTTACAGCGTTTTCAGCTGTTTTTCTGCTTTTTTATATCTGAGCCCGCCGAAAAGAGTAATGTGAATCCATTCTGCTGCATTTGTGCTTAATTTGACCTGCGTAAGGTCTTCAGAAGTGTCAGATCTTGTCACCCCAAACAATTAAGAATCAGAGAGCCCAATGACTTGCCAACATTAAAAGCCATGTAGCGGTACGTCTACCAAAAGTGGCATTACCTGGAAATGCATTCATTACAACTACTTGTGGATTGTGGGCTTGCCTTTTCAAGTTTCTGGGGTAAGAATACTTTTATCATCCCAGTTCACAGACTAGCTGGATGAGTGGCTCCACCCCTGGTTGACAGATCTTGGTGCACCCCCCCATCATGTGGGAGTCAGGGGCCCGAGGTTCCTACCTGAATGACTGAAACCCCTTCTGGATCATCAGAAACATTTGCTGGAACGAGAATCTTGGATTTCCACCTTGCATGCCTATAGCTCACCAAGGGGTTCGTGGAATGAAGGCCTCTGCTAGTTGTGGTGAGGCACCTTCCCTCACTTTGTGACAGAAATGCACTTACCATAGGCTACCATGCAACCTGAGCTTGAGGATTGAACCTTTCCATTGGCCATGGATTGCTGGTAGCTCATATCGGGTGTTCTCTTCCCTTGATATGCTGAATTGCGTGCAGATCACTAGTCATATTGCCAGTAGATCATGAAATGTGAGTGGTGAGGCAGACCACCTGCAAGTGGGCAACATTAATTTCTACCTCATCAGGGATAGGTTGTCGAGCTCCTATGTTTACTGGCGGCATGCAACAGTTGGCATGAGAGGATGTAAGCGAATAACTTATTCTACTTGCACCTCCCACAGGTCATCAACACAATTTCTGATAAGTAGATCTCATGGTCAACAAAACCTTATGTTCATAAAAACAAGAAACAATGGAACACAGGAATGCTCTGCACCACATGAGAAACACAAGGCTTTTTGGTGGAAAAACACAGATTTCACAGAACCGAGGTATCCATGTCTAGTGCCAGCTAAAGCCTCCATGTTACCCATAGCAAGCTAGCAGCATGATGACGCTGCTGCACATTGGCCTAATGCTTGACACACAAGGCTGTATGTCAAAGCCAGGTACACAGAAATATTCTATCCTGTCCTCCCCAACTGAATTACCTTCGGGAGTGTGATGCACAAGACAAGCCATGAGAATACTACACGCAACTGGGCCCACAAGCGAAATGCATAAACTGTGTTGTGCTAGAACTATAGCCTCAGTGCAACCAAGCCCTTTGTTGCTACAGGTGTTTGCTCACTAAAGGTGAAGGCAAAGCAGCAATCAATGTCGGTGCTAGTTACAGAGTTTTTTTGCAGCTAACAGGGCTTCTAGCAACCACTTCTAATCCTGGGGTGCGTCTTTGTCTGGGGGGGGGTCCCGGGAGGGGGGGGCCGCCAAAAAAAAAGAAGGCCCTCCCATCTCCAGAAACCCTCGAAACTGCGCCCATTTCAAACTCATGGCTTTGCGACCCCCCAAGATAAGCACAATTTTGACCTGCTCTTGTTATCTAATAAGGACAAACAAGACAAATGGAGTTATCAAATGGAGGAACAAACCTCAATTCTGATAAATTTGCTTCACATGTCTGAAATCACCGCGTTTTCAGAAACACTGTAAAACACGGGCCCCTATAGCGTCCCTTTCTGAAACCAAAATGGTTGAACCCATCACAAGTCTAGGTGGAATGTTGTGAAGCACTAACACCAAGAGCAGCATCACGACCCGCTGGAGAGTTTCAGGAGCAGAAGCACATAAGCACAACACAAAGCAATCAGAGTTTGGCTTTCAATGAGATCCATGCTCCGCGGTTGTTTGCATGATACCGCCAGATCTGACGCTGGATAATTACATCCACACAAATGTCCCAATGGAAGTACGATGCACTTTGTTCTCTAGGCGCATGAATTCTCGAGTGTGGCATGGTTTCCCTTCCATTTGCAAGCTCACTCGTACCAAAAAGATGTTGCCCTTGGTAACCTATGACCAGAAAATTGCGGTGTCCCCAGAGAGAGAGAGAGAGAGAGAGAGAGAGAGAGAGAGAGAGAGAGAGAGAGAGAGAGAGAGGGCGAGAGAGAGAGAGAGAGAGTTTGTGCGTTTGTAGCGCTCATGCCGAGCTTGATCCTTTATCAGTTCAGCACCTTGATTTCTGTTGTTGCATGCTCCAGCTTGGCCAACAGAGTTTTTTTTCAGTGAGCAAATGTAACGGCCTACTGTTGCGGGCACCTCTGACCGCCAGTGTAACTTGAGAGAAGCCCTGATAAATCATCATTTGTGCAATTTCTATGGGAAGGATTTCATGAACCACCAAGCCCACCAAGCCTAGGCCACTGTGGGAAATGAAGTGAGCAGTCAGATCATTTGAGACTTATCACAGGAGCCTCTCCATCTCGGACAAGAAGAGCATGAAAGCCCAGTGGCACAAGAAGGTGCAGATGCAAGCGCCGTCGAATCAGAACAGAAGGGTCTGCGTGCAGCGCAATTCTATGTCGGATTGCAGTTGTTGTTTTATGTTTGTTCGATTGCGCTTTGGGGATCATGGGCTGAGACAATAGTGCAAAGTGCTATGGGGAAGAATTCCTTTTTTGGGGCTATTAGCTTACTTCTCAGTTCTGGTTTCTTTTGTTGAAGCTTGTTGGTTTGAGGTTTGGCTATGTTAGGCTTTGGACAGCATAGCAGCTGCTCCCAGCCAGTCTCCCGCCGCCCTCTCACCTCCCCCGACCTGACTTTACTCCATTTGAGGAGAAGTGCCTGAAGCCCTGCGCTGCCCCAAACCTACCTGTTAGCCAACCCCAACCCTAAATCAGCCCTCAGCCAAACCCAATCCCAACCCTATACAGCATCTATACAGCTGTTTGCAGCCAATTCCCAATCACTCCAATCCCAAACCAGCCAACGCATCTGAGCACTGATCCATGCCTACGGCAATCATGGAGACTTTTGAGGGCGACTTGTGACTTGCACGTTGATGGCATGTCTACCGCCGGCAGGCGATCCTTTTCCAGTGCGGGATCTCAGAGTGACGAGTGAAGCCTCGTATTCGAAGTTTATTCTAGATGCTCACACGCCACTAGACAGAAGTTGATGACATGCCACACAGGAGCACCCGCCAGTTCTGCTCATTACACCGTGATTGCTACGCTATGAGGACACTCGTGTCACGTATGTGTCACGTTTCTGACTTGGTCACCCAAAGGTTTGAGTACGGCGCAGAACTAGTCTCGACTTCTCCAATCCTCAAGCTTTTGTGTCAACTGCACTTGCAAGCTGTGAGACTGAAAATAGCAAGTTCGTACATGCTAGCGCAGGCTGAATGAGACTCATGACCCCTCAAGCTTTGGTGGTCAGCGAACAACGGTAGTAATTTCAATTCAGCAAGACTTGTGCATGTGCTGTTGTGAAGCAACATCAGCCATATCAGCCCGTATGAGGGAAGTTAGAATGGAATGGACTTAATATGTTCCCGACATTTGTTCCAGGCAGTCTCAGTCGAAAACGATGGGCTGTATTGAAGCATGTGTTGCCCTCGGGTGAAACATGCATGTTCCAGTATGTTCGAGACATCGTTGTGCACTGACAGGTCGTAGTTGCCATGCGTAAACCCATGCTTAAACCCATGCTTTCAGTTCGTACTACGCCTCAATCGATACGGACAATGCAGGTTGGAGACAGTGTGCGCACAAAGAGCGTGCAAGCTGTATGCATGGTGCGCGCAAATACAAGTGCTCGTACGTCCTCATGAATGGCATTTGTGCGCAGGGGTGTCCTGAAGGGCGTTCGCCTTGTGCTTTCCAACCCTGAGCCCCGGTCCCCGCTTCAATATTGTGAATCAGGGTTGCCTTTTTTGAGCTAGAGGCCAATGGTGTATCCCAATGACGTGACCCAAATGCAGGCCTCGCATGAAGCGCAGGTGCGGTGCAAGTGCGCAAAGCTCCCGAACTCAGAACTGACATCGGACAACCGACCTATGGGAACGGACAATGTTCATGTTTGGTGTGGAGGAGGACACGGGGAAGTGCGCAAGGCACAAATTGCCTAGCAGATTGGTTTCCATGAATTGAACTGGCCAGGTCGTAGACCTGAGAAGCGTGCGGCGGAAGTCCGAGGATAGCAGCTCGAAGGCGCGCAAATGAGTGGTGCTCGTCATAGGGCCTGCGCTTATTTTGGAATAGGAGAGACTCAGCATCGCCAAACAGTGCTCATTGTGGAGCCAGATCACAAATGTTCTACACTATGACATGACGAATCATTGTAAATCGTTGAGGGAAACTCTAGGACACCCAACACAGATGCCGCGATACGCATCTTGGTTTTAGCTGGGAACCAACAATGGGATGGACGGCCCCGGAAAGTATACTTTGGAGCAAGAAACTGTCAAGGAAGGCTCTCCAAGTCTTGGCTCATGTTGTTGGTGAAGGGGCTCAATAAATGCGTATGTTCGCCGGGGGATGTCTAAGGAACCATGGCATGACAAAGCGGCATACCATCGTTGAGAAGCGCATATGATCAACGCAGACACGTCCCGTGATGTAGTTCACTCCCCAAGTATTCCAAGCAGAAAAGCAGTTGTGCCTAGGTGCGCCTTTGTTTGCTGCATTGGGCTGATGTTTGCTGTTGCATCGGTCAGTTGCACGTGTGTCCATTGCCCCGAAAGCCCTTGCCCTTCGCTGACCAGGGGTAAAAGGCACCCTTTGCGAAGAGCTTGCCCCGACCAGAGAAAACAGATCAAGGAGACAGGGCGATGCCAAGTTGGGATCAGCTTTGCAATGCGAGGGCCAGGGCGAGGCGAGCGCCGTCTTCGTCGTGCCCACCTTGAGCATTGGCGAGCAGGTCGCTCGGCCAGTCCAGTCGCGTGAGGTGAGGAAGGACCTGGGGCTCCCCGGAAGGTTCAGGAGAGATATCAGATGGACTATATTTCTGCTGCTTGTGAGAATAGGGCAAGCAGAAATAATGTCATGACTGCATTTGGATGGGCAGGCCTGTGTTGACTGCGTAGAGGTCAAATGCCAGACATCTTGTCTCTCGCAGTACCGGGCGGCAAGAATCAACGGCTTCAGATGTGGGCTGCAGTCAATCGCGAAGACCCTGTGTGCAGATCCACTATTGCACACATAATCAAAGGAAGTAGAGTTAAACTATAGCTAGCAGCAACCATGTTGCAACGCGAAGTGTGCTGTTGATGTCACACGTGTATGGCAATATGCATTGTCGAATGTTTGCTGCCAGCAATCCGCTTTTCGTTGTGCCCTTTGTTCAGAGTAGCCACGTTGGTCGGTATATTTACCATAAGAAGGCTGCAGTCTCATGAGCATTCAGCTAAAAGGCGAAAGATGCTTGCTCTTAGAATCAAGCTATTTTGAGCAAGTCCATGTTGCTCTCAAAGTGGATGGCTTATGGTCCAAATGACAGACTGTATGTGCTTCTTTTGAAAGTTGGTCTGTAGCGTGGAGCCAACTTCTGTGCAACCCGACAATGGCCTCTTTTGCCCATCTCGGTGTTTGGGGCTTCACCATGTTATGCCAGTGCTGGATTCGTGGAGCGGAAGGTGGCATGTTTTAGTTGCGGTTTCCAGAGGCCAAAGAGGGTGGAAAAGATTGCCAAGGTCGTGACTGGTCAGAATACAGACAGCCTGGCTCGATCACCCAGCCTGCTAAGCCAACAAGCAGCGTCCTTCTTCGAGTCTGACACCTATGTTGCTTGGCCTGCAGATGGGTGACCTTCAGCTCTCTGAGGAGCGCGCCCAATCTCAGAATGGTCCTCTTGAAATGGGAGAGCAACTCCTTGGATGGGTAACACCTTGTATCAAAGTGGGGCTTCAATAAATTCACAGTAGGACTCATGATTCCTTCCTTCCTTCCTTCCTTCCTTCCTTCCTTCCTTCCTTTCTTCCTTCCTTGGCGTTCACAATTCAAGTGTTCGGGTGAAGGAGCAACTTTCTGAATTTTGGGCAAGGGGATGATAAAATGGCCATGACCCACCTTCACTTTGACCGATTCACTGGCTATAGGCTCCGGGGGTATCACTCAGGGCACTTTGCTTTTGCGGGGCGAGCCCTGAGACGGGGTCCTCTTGAGCACATCCTGTAAGGTCTCATCCAGCCAGCAACCAAGGCGGTAGCATTCCAGTCTAGCATGGGCGTGTACGATGCGTGTTCCCTCATCCTTTGCCGAAGTTCCTGGCATTGGCGCGTACATCCCATTATTGCAAGCATGTTTGTTCCTGTCTCTCCTGGCCTTGCCATGACTCATGGGACAAAAGGGGATGAACATGTGATCATGTGCTTGACAAAGTGCCACGAAGCGTAGACCTGTCATCAAACAACGTGTTTATTTGTGCTGTGATTGAGGGAAACCCAGTTTCTGTGAATCACATGCCAACCAAGGAGCTCCTCATAGGTGCGCTGATCCTGTGCAGCGTCTTGATTTTGGCACTGGAGATGCAATATGAGGGCTACTTGTGTCTCAGCAGCAGGACTCATACTGATTCGGAGCCACAGCCTGGACAGCCAGAGCACTAGTGACTATTGTGGGCCACGCCCTTCCTTTGGCTACCCTTGCTGTGGCGCTGAAGTATTGGAAGGACAAGACATGAATGTCCGCCACTAGCTGCCACTGATTTGCAAGACCAAATCCTTACCTGGGCCCGCCCCCCCCCCCGTAAGAGGGAAGAGTATGTATAATGTGCCGGGGAGAGGTCTGGGCATCAACATCACACTGAGGGCTGGCTTTCAGGCAGATCTTGTAGGAATTGATTGCATGAAAATTGCAAACCTTACTCTGACAAAATTGGCTTCCAGTGGAATTTGGTAGGAATGAAATTGCGAATATGACAAATTAATTTGTAAAATTTGTTAAGTAAAGAACATATTCGCCAGAATTACAAATTTTACAAATTAGCCTCCAGGGGAATTTGGTAGGAATTAAATTACAAATTTTACAAATTTTACAAATTTTACAAATTTTACAAATTAATTTGTAAAATTTGTAAAATTTCAAAAAAATCTGGCCCAACATTACAAATTTTACAAATTTTACAAATTAATTTGTGAAATTTGTAAACCGGCCCAAAATTACAAATTTTACAAATTTTGCAAACTCGAGTCTGAGAAATTAGCCTCCAGGGGAATTTGGTAGGAATTAAATTACAAATTTTACAAATTTTACAAATTTTACAAATTAATTTGTAAAATTTGTAAAATATCAAAAAAATCCAGCCCAAAATTACAAATTTTACAAATTTTACAAATTAATTTGTAAAATTTGTAAAATTTCAAAAAAAATCTGGCCCGAAATTACAAATTTTACAAATTTTACAAATTCGAGTCTGAGAAATTAGCTTCCAGGGGAATTTGGTAGGAATTAAATTACAAATTTTACAAATTTTACAAATTTTACAAATTAATTTGTAAAATTTGTAAAATATCAAAAAAATCCGGCCCAAAATTACAAATTTTACAAATTTTACAAATTAATTTGTAAAATTTGTAAAATATAAAAAAACATCTGGCCCGAAACTTACAAATTTTACAAATTTTACAAATTCGAGTCTGAGAAATTAGCTTCCAGGGGAATTTGGTAGGAATTAAATTACAAATTTTACAAATTTTACAAATTTTACAAATTTTACAAATTAATTTGTAAAATTTGTAAAATATCAAAAAAATCCGGCCCAAAATTACAATTTTACAAATTTTACAAATTAATTTGTAAAATTTGTAAAATTTCAAAAAATCTGGCCCAAAATTACAAATTTTTTTACAAATTCGAGTCTGAGAAATTAGCTTCCAGGGGAATTTGGTAGGAATTAAATTACAAATTTTACAAATTTTACAAATTTTACCAAATTAATTTGTAAAATTTGTAATTTTGGGCCTTTTTTTTGATATTTACAAATTTTACAAATTAATTTGTAAAATTTGTAAAAAAATTTGTAATTTAATTCCTACCAAATTCCCCTGGAAGCTAATTTCTCAGACTAGAATTTGTAAAATTTGTAAAATTTGTAATTTTGGGCCAGATTTTTTTGATATTTTACAAATTTTACAAATTAATTTGTAAAATTTGTAAAATTTGTAATTTTGGGCCAGATTTTTTTGATATTTTACAAATTTTACAAATTAATTTGTAAAATTTGTAAAATTTGTAATTTAATTCCTACCAAATTCCCCTGGAAGCTAATTTCTCAGACTCGAATTTGTAAAATTTGTAAAATTTGTAATTTGGGCCAGATTTTTTTGATATTTTACAAATTTTACAAATTAATTTGTAAAATTTGTAAAATTTGTAATTTTGGGCCGGATTTTTTTGATATTTTACAAATTTTACAAATTAATTTGTAAAATTTGTAAAATTTGTAATTTAATTCCTACCAAATTCCCCTGGAAGCTAATTTCTCAGACTCGAATTTGTAAAATTTGTAATTTTGGGCCAGATTTTTTTGAAATTTTACAAATTTTACAAATTAATTTGTAAAATTTGTAAAATATCAAAAAAATCCGGCCCAAAATTACAAATTTTACAATTTTTACAAATTAATTTGTAAAATTTGTAAAATTTCAAAAACATCTGGCCCAAAATTACAAATTTTACAAATTTTACAAATTCGAGTCTGAGAAATTAGCTTCCAGGGGAATTTGGTAGGAATTAAATTTCAAATTTTACAAATTTTACAAATTTTACAAATTTTACAAATTAATTTGTAAAATTTGTAAAATATCAAAAAAATCCGGCCCAAAATTACAAATTTTACAAATTTTACAAATTAATTTGTAAAATTTGTAAAATTTGTAAAATTTGTAAAATTTGTAATTTAATTCCTACCAAATTCCCCTGGAAGCTAATTTCTCAGACTCGAATTTGTAAAATTTGTAAAATTTGTAATTTTGGGCCAGATTTTTTTGAAATTTTACAAATTTTACAAATTAATTTGTAAAATTTGTAAAATTTGTAATTTTGGGCCGGATTTTTTTTGATATTTTACAAATTTTACAAATTAATTTGTAAAATTTGTAAAATTTGTAAAATTTGTAATTTAATTCCTACCAAATTCCCCTGGAAGCTAATTTCTCAGACTCGAATTTGTAAAATTTGTAAAATTTGTAATTTCGGGCCAGATGTTTTTTATATTTTACAAATTTTACAAATTAATTTGTAAAAGTTGTAAAATTTGTAAAATTTGTAAAATTTGTAATTTAATTGCTACCAAATTCCCCTGGAAACTAATTTCTCAGACTAGAATTTGTAAAATTTGTAATTTTGGGCCAGATTTTTTTGATATTTTACAAATTTTACTTTGCTATTTTACAAATTTTGCAAATTCATTTGTAAAATCTGGAAATTTCACTTTTTACACATGTACTTGCGAAATTTGTGAAATGCTTAATTGTTAACCATATTTGTTGGAATTTGGCATAGTTCAGAAACTAATCTGCAAAATGTGTATAACTTGTAATGTAACTCCAGCCAAATCTCCCCGAAAAGCAAATTCCCCAGAGTACGTTTCAATGTCAGCAAACATCAAACATTGCTCGGGGGTTGCAAATTGCACAAGCTAGTTTGTAAAAAGTCGGTCCAGAATTACACAAATTACAAGTAAAGGTGTGAACATTGTAAACTTGATAAAACTTGATCACCGTCCTTCCCTTAACGGCTTTGTTTGGGTCAAGTTTGTTTCATTTTGAATCGGTTGAAGTTTGGTAAGGAAATGGGGAGGAAAGCATATTATCTTTTCATTTGGAATCTCTCTTTTCTGTTATTTCCATGTGTTTGGATCTCGAATTCATACTCCTTTCTTTATCTTTCACTCTCTCCCCTGACCATTTCTTCCTACAATCAACTCAATAAACTAGGATGGAAAAGACATGGATAAAGAAATAAACATAAGATAGGTAAAGGAGAGAGGACATCTTCTGTAACACGCTTCTTTTGGATAACTTTCATACCACACATACCTGATGGAGAAAGAGATGGATAAAACCGTGCAAATAGAAAGACATGGAAAGGCTACTGGGATTGTGGGATGGATTCATTTGTATCTCAGAGATTTTATCGCATACCAGGTTAGACCAATCGATGAAGGTAAGGGAAAGGGAAAGGTGTGAAAGAACAAAGAATGATGAAGAAAATCTTCCGCCCAGACATCACGCAGAATACGCCAGATAGCCTGTCCGTGAGACTTGGAGGATATGATGATTGAAGATTCCCTCACTATCCCTTTCCAGCCTGTCTTTGGGGCCTCTTCCAAATCATTGCCTGTTTCCTCTTGTCCATCCATCCTCATCCTTTATTTGCATTTATGGATGGGCAAGAAGTGACGAAAGCATTTGCAGGCAGTAATAATTACGGTAGAAAACGTAATATCCTCCCTTTCTTTTCAAAATCCTGTTTCTTCAAGCTAACAACATAAAAAGGGCGCGAGGCAGTTATGACAAAGCTAAAGATAATTATGGGTGGTGCTTACAGAAGCTATCTAATTTATTACGTGTAATACATGCTTCTAATCTTAAAACCATACTTACATTCCTCGTTCTTTTCTATTTTATTCTTCCCTTGTTGAGATTCATTACGCTATCTTTCTTTGTGAATGCTTTTGGCTGTCCGGTCGTCGCTGGGCTCACCGAAAAAAAAAGATTATGAGTAGGTCTTACTCATATTATTTTGCTTGTGTTTTACTATCTTTTGGACCTTTCATCCTTCCCCTTCTTCTGTTTCCCTTTTCAACCGTTGAAGAATGCCAGAAATCGAGGGGTGAAGGAAGGAGGGAGAAGCTAGCCCCCCCGTTCCTTCTTCTCCAACTGTATCGCTAGTGGGGAGAAGATAGGAAGGAGATCAACCGTTCCATCTTTACCTTTCCCTTCCCCACTACGTTCTGGAGTTCTGTCACTACGAAAGACTCACGATGGAACAGTCTAAAAGTGGGACGAAGGAAGGGGATATTGGCTTTATTTTTGGTTTATTTGTAGAAAAAGAAAGCCACTTTCCACAACCCGCTTCTTTCTGTAAAAACACAGATGGAAGAAGATGACCTTTCCTTTCCCGGCCCAGCCAACGCTTGTCATTTTCCTTGCCTTGTCTTTTACATTGCCATGTTTTGGAAATGAAGAAGTAAAGTGTCTGGCAAGGAGGTAAGCGCCCATCAATACTAATTGAAGATAACGAATTGGATGGGCACTTACCATGTCTTTCTATCACTTCTTTCTTTCCTTTTGATGAAATTGAAGATTGAAAATGGGAAGTGAGAGGCCTCTCTTGACTTCTTCCTCAAGCATAGGCTGCTGTTAATCTTATGCCGTGTGATGCTTGGGAAGAAGAAGAAGAAGAGAAGATAGGAGAGGGTGAGCAGAAGTAACGTGATTCTTTCTTTTCCTCCGATCGCATCCTGATTTTCCCATGTATGTCACTCACCAACATCTTCAACCCATAAAGATTTGACTACAGAATCCTTAAAACCTTTTTAATAGCAAATGCTAGCGGTCTCTCTCTTTTGCTAATAATCTTCTGGAAATGAAAGGACAATAATAGAGTTTTAGATCATAGGATGGTGTAAGGATTGGGTTCTTCTCATCGTTGACGTCCTTTCCTTGTCCAAGTCACGGAGGAAGAGAGGTTGGTTTGTGGTCCCAAGAGCTTGTATCCTTCCCTTTCTATCTCTTCCACTTCATCCAGGAAACATTTGTGGATGGACATGTCGTTATTAAGATCATTGCATCCCATTTATTGCTTGAATGTCTATCTTTGTTGTCTTCCATTTACAATATTATCTGAGAAGTATAGAAATGCGTCTGGGTGTGAGGTTGAAAAATTGGCGATGTAAAGAAAATCACGATGGTTGGAAGAGAAAGTTAATCATTACCAAGAATAGGTTCATAGTCTCTCATCTGCTGGTTGCATTCTCATGTACTTGTTCACTTTGCAACCTTTCTACTTGTTCATCTATCTTCCCAATCTCTCTTTCTCTCTCTCGCATTGTAAACGTTGGAGGCATCTGGATGGGGGAAAAAACCCGGGGGGTAATAACAAATATGAAGAAGAGGAACTGGCTAACACTCCTTCTGCTCTCCCGTCTTTCGCGGCTATCAGGACTAGTAAGAATTACGAAAAAGGCCTATGAAGAAACATAATAGATACATAAATAAATAAATCAATAGGCAAATGACAGAACCAAGAACATGAAAGTAATAAAGAATGTTAATAAATGAAACTGTTTATTGGGAGACACATTATTCTTGTCCATCAAGAACCCTCTCCAAAACAGTGAAAAACCTAAAGTGGACAATGATGGATATGATAGAAAACGCAATAAGATAATAAAACGCAGTAAGCTATGAGATTACAACGATTCTGTAATTATTGCCTTTAAATTCACCCCGTGACCACTTCATCCCATTTACACAAATACATTGGAGAGGATATTAGTGCATGATGAAGAATACACACAAATTATAACCATAGATAGTTTGCTTGACTCTGAAGAGGCTGTTGGTCTTTACTCATGGAGTTTATTTAGTTGTATCTTCTTTCTGCTTTTGTTCTATTAGAATTTCCTTGCAAAATCTCTCACTCACTTCCTATTGTATCATTAGATATGTGCAATATTCTTGAGTTTTAGGTGAGAATGAAAAGGATATTAATAGTTCAAAGTTGCTGGAGAAGGACGGAACACTATTTACGAAAGGCTATTTATTTACTAGAATCTCATGAGTAATGTTAACTAATTTGTATCGATTGGGGTGTATTTCTCACCTTCTCTTTTTAAGGGGTTTCCTTTTGCCTCCCAAGCTAATACTTGTCAAATCCTACTGAATCAATCTTCATTAATAAAATCATGTTCATTGCTAGAAGTGACCGAAGGAAGTTAATAGTTTTCTCATCAAAATATTGCCTGTCCAAATAGAGTGATGAATGAAGAGACGCTTAACTGTTATTATTGCTTAAGTGACGTCTCACGGACAGGCTACGTCTCCAGACCCTTTTTTATATCTCTCTGATTGTTCTTTCCTTTTATGTTTATTTGACCAGCATTTGTTTACTATTTACTTCTTCCTCACTGACATTCGATCTTCTCTAACTCTGTTATCTGTTACTGTGGCTTTAATCATTTGATTAACATTTTCCTCTTTCCATTTCCATGCTCTATCTTGGTGAGCCAGCAAACGTTTAATTTAGAAAAAATATGGAAGTGATAGATAAGAGGACATCATTATTTGTTTCTATTAATACTACTTCACGAAGGTATACCGTGTGCTTTTATCACACTCTCTCACAACCAAAGAGAGGATGTTCATCTGGTCTTCATCACCCCTCACCCTTTTTTCTATTACTACAAACTAGCTGGTTCTTTCAGGGTGGGGCATGCCAAGACATTCCTTTCTACTCTTGGGATTGCACCAAAAGAGTCCATGTGCAACAATGAGCCGTTCTGCTCTTGAAGGCGCGCGGCGGCACATTGTACGTAATCTTCCCTGCCACCCCCCCCCCCCGCGGCTCGATTCCCGCTGTGCCGCCCCGGCATGCGCGTATTCCCATAATCTCGTCCACGTGTTTGCAGCGGGGAACCTGCCTTTCTAGACTAGTGCTAATATCCTGGCAGCAACTCCTGAGTCGTACATGTCGTCGTTGGGCTGGCTAGGCTAGCTTTCGTTCACCCGCCTCTCAAGTATAGACAGCAAAGATCCCGGGACACTCTGGTGACTGAAGAAGTGTTGTATCGCTGGCTGTGCTGAGGGTTTTTGTTCCCCCCCCCCCCCGGTGCTAGGCTGCAGGGAAGGACATAATGTGTGGTGCCACGTGGAGCGGGCAATTGTGCTTCACATTGGTTCAATGAATATGCAAGACGCGCCGCCAGACTTGGAAGGGCCGTTGTGCTGCAAGTATAAATTTAATTGCGAGATGAGGCGAGCAGATTCATGAAGTTCTGAGGGTGAACAAAGTTGGGAATGCAAGAGACTGCTGGATGCTTTCTCCTCTCGTTCGGGGAATCATTGTAGCCAAATGGTGCTTGGTGGCACAGCTGTCGTCGCGGGCGGCCCCACCAAGCCATACCTGAAAGTTCATGCTTCATGTTTTTTTTTGTTTTTCTCTGATATGATTTAGAGATCCGCTGACCGTTGCAGCCGTCATGCGACTTTGCGAATGCTTGCATGCCGCATATCTCCCCAAGCGTTCTGACAATGAGTCAAGGAGAGTGACCCTTTGAAGACGCGTATGAGTCATTCCTATCCGATAAGAACCCCTTGCAATTTGGTAGAGTGAACGGGAGAAATACTACCAATCAACGTCAGATAGCTAGCAAAAGGCATTTAGCTATTGTCGCACTTCTTTGCAACCTGTTTTCCGTATTTTCAATCAGCTGGAATACTGTTTCAACATCCTTTCGAACTGTGGCTATTCAAGGTGACCTGCGCCCATGTCATCGCAACACAGTGGATGTCAGCGTTTGTGGGCAGTCTGCCGCAACATTTCATGTTGCGTCTCCTTGCTGTCAGACTCACAGTCTAGGATTGGCCATGACTTGGACTACCCTCGCATGGACAAGAACCCTCAAGAAGTTTGGCACAGCATACCGGCTGCTTGGCAGACTCAAACAAGATGTCTCATACTCCTCAGGGAGTGCTTTTGGGTTGGAAGAGATATATCTCGGTGTAAACTGTTTCAGGGCGCCGACCAACACAGCCCCAGATTTACCTGGGGAGACCCTTGAATCCACTGACAAGCTTTACCCTGTCGGAGCAGCTTAGCAACTACTGTTTGTTGGCAAGTGAAGCTGCAGACATAGAAGATTAGGGTCTTCGTTTCTCAATGGCGCAGCTTGCGCAGTGTGCAGCTCTGTCCTGCAACGAGGGGCCACAAACATGTTAACATCAAGAGTTCAAGTAAGCATGTAGCCACACTGTATTTGCCGTAGAATTGCGGATTCAAACCTTGGCCAACTGCTGGTTGGATTCAGCAGACTAGCTGCGTTGCCTCGCTTGCAGTTACTGAGGAAATACTGACCTGGATTGATCGGACTTCCTGGCTGCACTAGTTACGGATTGTTGTCCACATGTCACAGGCCGGCTAGTCAAACCCATGCGTCAATTATATTTGACCTGGGGCCAACGCGATCAAACTATGATGGAATAGAAATGTTGCCTGGCAGATGCGATACCTTTGCCAAAATGGCGCTAATTCTACCAAGATCCAAGCACGCCCAAAAATATGCCCCTCGTAAAAAGCAGTGGATACAGTCAGAGGTTGTTGCAAAAGCAGCACCCAGCAATTTTGCATGCATGCCTTTCTAACTCCACTTCGGGTTTTGCGTTTCTCTCACAGTTATCCTGGACTGAGCTTAGGACATTCACAGGAGTCTTTGTGCTGGACATCGTGCTCCGGGTTTTCTTTATAGGCCGAGCATTCTTCTGCCAAGTGCCTCTTGGCAGCCCTGACTACTGGTTTGCGAACTGTTGGCCCGGAAGGAAAGAAGATACGCATCACGGTTTCGGCATACGTTCAGAGGGCACATGCCAACTTTCTCAACCGTCCCGCGTGAAGCGAGCTTTTGTCTTTGCGATAGTCTTGCATGCTGAGCTGGCTGTATCTTTTGGACATTTGTTCATGATCCTGAATTTAGGGCTTGCCTTGATCTCCGTTCTTACCAGGGCCAGGAAGCTGGGCAGCTGGAAAGAAACGACGTTCATGCCTGGCAATGCGTGAAAGTATCCGCTGCGTGAAAGTATCCGCTTGGCGCCGAAGGACAGCCACAGCAGCAGGCCAAAGGCAAGGGGGGCCTAGGCCCAGGCGACTTTGCATGGGCCACAGCAGTGGGCGCAAGGAACCAGGTCCCAGGACCTTGGGCTGGGGCGCATTGTTGCGTGGCCTGCGCGGACAAGGGGCTGGGGCTTTGTGAAGCCCAAGGCGCGGCCAGGCACAAAAATGCGGGCCAGCCGTGGCTTGGCTGAGTTTGAACCTACGTGGAGCCAGAGCCCTTTGCGTGGGTTGTGGGTGGTTAGCCTGTGGCAACAGCCATAAAAGGCTGCGCGGGGGCGTCCAGGTCGGGGATGGCGTTTGGGAAGATGTCGAAGCGTTGACGATCAGTCTGGCTTTCGCTTTGTAGCGGTGCGCAAAATCCCTTCGTCAGACCCTAAAGCAGCTTTGAACGCAACTGGGTTCAGGTTCTGACCCTTTGGGCAGGGCTCAAGATGGGGGTCGTTGGGGTTGGTCTTGGGCCCTGTTTCTCTGTAAGGAACCGTCACTCCGAACTGTTTCTGGTAATGTTCCCAAACTGGTGCCGCATAATTACCCCTAGTTCTGCCAGCTGAGGTTCAGCGTGTTGGACCTTGTGGTGGTGTTGTGCAGTCTACTGGAGGCGTGACTCCCCCCAACACTCGAATGTTCGCAGCGTTTTCGGTTGCTTTGCGCCTTTGTTCATGGCAGCGCCTCTACGGAATGGGGAGTGTGTGTGCGTTTTACATGTATACGTACTTCTATTATACTATATTCTCTTACATCCAAAAAAAGTTTAGAAGGAACTTTCGCGGTGCGAAGACTAATTGACAGCTTGCTCTCTGAGACACAGGAAAAGAGAAGAAACACGCGCGGGACAAACACGCGCGCGCGTGTGGCCGTGTCGATGCATTGGCACGGACGCGCGCGTTTTTTGCAACATTAGTCTGCGTGGCGGGCGCGGCATTTTTTGCAGGGTCAGGCGCAGACTCCGTGGCAGGCACATCGATTTTTGCAAGGTCAGGTATCAGACGCAGATTGCGTGGCAGGCTCAACACCTTCCTTCGCAAGGTCAGGTGCAGAGTTCTTGGCAGGCGCGGTCGATTGACAGATAGACAGATAGACAGGTAGAAGAGAGAGAGAGAGAGAGAGAGAAAAAGCGAGAGAGAGAGAGAGAGGGGGAGACAGAGAGAGAGAGGGAGAGACAGAAAGGAAGAGCGATCGGTTAGAAGAGCCGACAATTGGATGAATAGGTAGAAATTTGGAAAGCGCATAAGAAAGCTTGAGAGGGAGAGAGAGAGAAAAAAAAAGAGATAGGCTTGTAGATCGGTCGGCAGACAGACAGATAGATAGATAGATGGATAGAGAGAGACAGAAAGGTAAAATATGGATAGATGGAAAGTTAGGTAGCTAAAAAATAGACTCACATAGACAGAATATAGACAGATAGATAGATACATAGGTAGATAGAGAGGAGTGTGTGTGTGTGTGTGTTTGTGTGAATGTCTGTGTGTCTGACACACACAGACACAGAGACAGACACAGAGACAGAGACAGAGACAGAGACAGACAGACGCATGCACGCGCACAAACAGCACGCAAACAAACAAACAAACAAACAAGCAAGCAAACAAACAACAAAACAAACAAACAAACAAACAAACAAACAAACAAACAAACAGGTGAGACGTTGCTCTTGGTGTCATGCCCTTTGCCACAGACCCTTCCCGGCTTTCATTGATTGCGCGGAAGCCAAGCAGCCACGCCAGCAGCTGGTAGAGCTTTCTGCGTGAAGATCCTGAATGCAACCAAGCGATCTTTTCCGGAAGAGCTGAAAGCTGGTACAGATACGCAGAAGAGTTTGACGCGGGATTTGTCTAGGGCCAGTTAGGCAGGATGGTCCCAAGGTTCAAGCCGGGGGTTGGCTTGTTTCAAAAGCTTGCGCATGCAAGCAGTCCGCATATCTTGTTTGAGCCTCATGGATTTGCGTGGCTTTATTAATTAGCGGAAACACATAATTGTCCGCCCTTCGTGATATTGTGATATTGGGGCCATTGTCAGATGGTTTTCATCCAGGAGAGGCAACTTTCCAAAGTCCCACGAAACAATGCTTTGAGCCAGCGAGAGAAACTTGATCGTGTATATACAGGGTTTAGGGCAGGCTTGGGGGTTGAGCAAATCGGGCTTATTCCACCTGGATCTTCCTTGAAGGCACTGGTGCAGAAATGGAGTTGGCCCATAAGGAAACGCCCTAATGGGTGGTTTCCTGTTGGTGTTCCTTTGAAACCACCCCAAACAACGCATCCAGAATAACAGACACACCCAATCAACCAGCTGAAACGGGTAGGTGGGCTCATACAATGGCAGCCTCCCCTTAACGGTAGAGCCAGCAGAAGGCTCCTTTAGTTTTCCTTGTATGCTCTTTGATCGGATGTTCACAATGGATTCGAGATGATTCGCCGCGCGTGTTAGCAATTGAGTTGGGTTGTACCCTGGACCACTGAGAACATCAAAATGTTGGTCCATTTGGGAGGGACTTGGGAGGGACATGGAGGGACTCACCAGATTTCTGTCAAAAACCCAGGAGATCATGTCTTAGAAGGAAAACATGGGTTTTTGACCGTGGTTCATCCGGTTTCTGAAATGAGTTATCACCTAGTAAGATTGGGAGCACGTCAAACGGACGAGGTGTTGTTTGTGACGGGAAGTACCGTTTGGGAAGCCCTTTGCACCGCCACGCACCCGATGCCGGATGACAGGAAGTGCTCGGGGAGGCCTTTCCCTTCGACGCGCCCTTCCTCCGACTGTTGCGCTTCGCCAAAGTCGCGCGTGCGCTGCGGGTCCTCAAGCGCGCCCTGGCACAGCGCCAGACCCTCCTTCAATCCGTTCCGAAGTACATGTGCAGGTATGTGAGTGTTTGCGTGTTGGAGTGGGTGTTTGTGGTTTGGCGTGTTTGTGTGCGTGTGTGAGGATTGAGGCCACGTTGTGATGGGGAAGTCGACGAAACATGTGAACAGCTGAGGCGTTGCTCTTGTGTCATGCCCGTTGCCACAGGTGGCCAACCAGGTTGGTTTAGTCATTGACTTACCCACGAACATGGATCGTGGACACCCAGTAAATATTTCTCATGATCATTGGTGAGAGTGCACTTCTTTTGAACATACCCCTTACTTGGACCTTTCAGAAGAATCACGCAGTGGGGGTAGCGCATCAGGAAAAGAACAGGAGGGAGAGGGAGAGGGGGTTGAGGGAGAAAGAGAGAGGGAGAGAGAGGGAGAGACAGCGAGAGATTAACATATTTGGTATCAGAATACCTGACAAGCTGTTTCAAAGTTATTTCCAGGGAAAGTGATTGTGTGAGAGGTTTTTTGTGCAGTGTTATGGAATAGATGTCATGTGGACCCAGGAACACTCATCTGAATCCAGTTGTCATTCAATGTTTGTTTTAGCCTGGTTTTGTCATAGCAATAGCTCGGACACATAGGGTTCATATTGGTGTTCCGACGTCGCAGCGATTGTTCTGCCGACCTGAGGAGCACACTTCCTTGGCTCACTGCACATTCTGCTGAAGTCGGTGCGTGCCAGCGTGGATCCTTACATGTGGCACTGAGTTGGGTTACCCAGCAGAGCATGTTTGTGGTTGTGCAGTATGTCTTTCCTGAAACAACTCCCCACCCAGGGTTGTTCAAAGAACATGGCCTGCTTGCACATGTTTGTCATCGACCAACCTTGGGTTCTCCGCTCCTCTGCTTTTTCGGCGCGTCGCTCCTTTCAGCACAGAGATAGCTCCAATACGGCGGTATCCAGTCAACTGGTTGCTTATCCGGAAACCTTGAGCGCTTTCTCATCTCTGACTCGACTCTGGTACTGTAGAGGAGGTCCAAGTCTTGAAGCATGCTTCCTCCGAAGGCTGTTTTCGTTGAAATCTCAAGGCCAAGTCCCTGAAGTCCAAGTTTGTCTTGGGCATCCCCAAACTCCCCAGCAAAAGCCAAACAAGTAATCTTACTCAATGTACGGGATTTCGCCGGCAACACCAAGCCCGTGAATTCCCTATTTGGCGGATCCTTGCACTTTAAACCGATAGCAAGTCAGCCTCGATCACTTGACAAGGTGCCCACATCAAGACAATTGCAGGCGCCAGCCACCAAATCAATCAGCCAAGAAGTGAGCATTCCTCTTACTCTTACTCGAGCGTCGCTCCGCCCAGGAAGTACTTTTCTGGTCTCTTTGCCTTCTTGGTATCATCCAGTGTGCCTCGGCAGCAGGAAACTCCTGCAAAGGAGTCACAGCCCCCTTTCAAAGGCACCCAGAACAACAATACGATCAAATAAATACATTTTAACAAGGCAACAGAACACCAAACAGCCGCAGTTTGCCTCAACTGTGGCTAGATAAACAGCCCTATTTGGCCTTATTCAAGGCAGAGAAGCAGTTGGACGCAGACACAGTCTTGCTGATTTCATGCATTCTAGCCTTTTTGTGCGAGTGCCCATTTGGACAGTAGTATCTTTGGGCCTTGCCTGCTTACAAGCATGAATTGAACAAGGCTTATAATTTATACAGATTTGCATGGAGTTACCAATAGAGCCGGTGAAGCCGGTTGGCGGCAGTTTCAATATATAGGAATTGTCGTTGATTGTATCGTTGTTTTTTCCCTCTCTTTCCCTTTCGCGTGTTGTTGTGTTCTCGTTCCTTGTCTCGTGTTATTCTTACTTGTTCTCTTCTTTCTCTTAATCTGTTTCTCTCTTTCTCTTTCTCTTCTTTCTCTCTCTCTCTCTCTCTTTCTTGTCTTTCTCTTCCTCTGCCTCTTTCGCTTTCTCCTCTCGTTGTTTCCTGAATGCCTGTCTGTCGAGAGAATGCTTCGCGTAGATCACATGTTTATTTGTGTGTGTGTTAGTCTTCATCCGTCTCTTGCTCTATCTAGCTAGCTGTCTAGCTAAGCTAATCCAATCTAGCCAATCCCATTGGTCTATATGTCTATCTATCTATCTATCTATCTATCTATCTATCTATCTATCTATCTATCTACTCCACTCTAATCTAATTGAATCTAATCCAATCTATTTGTGTATCTATCTATGCAGCTCTCTATCTCTCGAGATGTATCTATCTAGATATCTATGCGTTTATCATTCTCTCTGTTTGTCCGTCCGTCCATCTGTGCGTTTGCCGGTCCATCTGTCTCTATGTATCCATTTAGCAATCGATCCATGCATCAATCTATCTATCTGCAGTGCTCCCAGAGTGCTGCGCTTGCCACGCAATCTGTACCTGACCTTGCGAATGTCCGTCAGGGTCACTCTTTTTCGCGATGTCTATTTCCACGCCCACGCATGTTTTCTTGCATGCGTGCATTCTTTCTCCATCTTCTTTGTGCGAGAAACTACCTTCATTTAGTGTCCGCAGCACGGAAGTTCCTTCTAAACTTCCTTTGACCATGGTTGAAACGGGGAGGATCTTGGGCGGGCGCTTCAGCAATGTGTTCAAAATAGGGCTTAGTATTTCCCAAGAAGACCACAGCGACGTCTGCTTCATTGTGCTTGCAACTGTTTGATATAAGGCTCGACGAGACTCATGCCTCCCTCATCACAAATGCCTGCACGCTCAGGACACTTCAATGCGCAATCTCAACATCTGCGTGTGCATGGCATGGCCCAAACGTGCCGCGATTCTGCTGGCTAACCAATGCTGAGAGAAATAGTACGGCGTTGCCATTTACATACCCGGACAATTGATGACATTTAAACTGGCTAACGAGGATGTTGTTTCGGCTCGGACAAGCGACAGGAGGTCCAAAGCCCAAAGACCCCCGCATCTGGACTTGTTTTCAATGGACTAGCCCATTTCTACTGTTGCGAGTAAACCGCACAGACACGTTCTTGAAGTAGCTATAGGTGGAAGATGTTGACTGCTTGTTACAGACAGGGGCACTAGATAGCTCTCCCAACTCCTGCCCGAAGACGATAGTTTATGGCTTGAATGAGGATTTGATCCACATTTTAACTTCTATATCTCACGTAAAGGGCTAGTCTTGAACACACATGTGGCTTGTCGCGCAGCTGAACAAAGCTAATCAGTAGCGGGCTCAAGACTTGCGTTCAGTCTATGAGTGCCAATGATGGCCTGCAGCGCAAACTGCGAGAGCCCTCAAGAGTTTCACTGGTTCGGGCTCTCGGGGCATCAAAGCATGGTCCAATAATCATGAAGGCCGATGGGACTTTGAACGTACGGCTCTTGCCAACTTGCCGAACCCACTACCCTCACAATGATGTTACAATGACACTGCAAAGGAGGGCATTGAGTTGAGCCACCTCTCCCTACCTGAATCCTTTGATTCTGTGACTACTGTAATTTGAATTGTTTGCTTGGAGATCCATCGTGCTTATCCAAGGTACTGCGCTTGCGAAATTTGTTTGGATTTGTGTGAAGGATTCTTATCATTCCCCATCATCGCTAGGACATGTGGATTCACCCGTGCACATGCCAGCAAGGCATTGCGGGCATGATGCTGGCTCAGAGCGTGCAGGGATTCCTGCTGGACGAGTCCAAAGACATGATGATCCGGCGTGAGGTCTTTCGCCCCTTGACTGCCAGCAACGGACTCTCAGTTGGCACACTGCGGAATCACAAAAAAACATCCCTGAATCACAAGATGCCAACGACCTTCGGAAGCAGGGAGTACAACTCTTGGTGGATGTGATTAGCCATGGTTCATATCATCATCAGGGACGTCGCGTTAGTGACCGACCTGTGGTGTTTTGGCTCAAGTTTTGGGTTCCGTCGCGCCTCGAATGGGCGTCGCCGAACCCCTGCGTCGACCGACGGCATCTCGGGGGAGAAAGAGACCTCGGGCCGCCGCCAGGTTGGTAGGGACCAGTCGTGCGGCCTGTTGTCGACCAAGGTTGCGGGTTAACCCTTTTCTTGTTTGGTTTGTTTTCCTTTGGTTGTTGTTCTCTGGTGTGTGGGAAACCCTGATCTTTGGGACCGGGGATTGGTTTGCTTTTGGGGAACCTTTCTTTTGTGGCTTGTTTACCCCAACTTACCCATTGCCTGGGCACAGGCTCGTGCCCGAATCACAGGTTATCAGCCGTAGGACTTTCCTACGCGCTTGAGACCATCAACTACAAGCTCTATGTCGACCCCACGATCTCGAAGGAGCGTCGTGGATGAGGAGGCCATCCTAGGTGGCCTCCGCTCAGGTGAGGACCTACCGGACTATGACTACGAGGATTTCGAAGCAGGTTCGACAGGTCAGGACCGCAGGGGTGAAGATCCCGGTAGGGATACACCCAGGGGCCGTGGCAGGTACGCCGACGATGGAGACGATCGTATTTTCCGCCAGGCCACTGATGACGAGCAGACACGAAGGGTTTACTCCGGTAGGAGTGGCTCTGAATCAGGTCACAGGCGTGGACATTTTGACTTCACCAGCATGGCGATGGACATGGCCCGCCCTCATTCGGATGACCCGGAGGCCATGCCGATTCGACCTCCGAGATCTCTTGTTCCAGGTGAGTCGCAGGTCTCGGATGAGTTTGAGAGTAGGCCGCAGGGACCAGGGACTATGGTTCTGGTTCCGGGAGGTATCCCGGGCCGATCCACTGGTTCTCAGAATCCAGGTCAGTTTGATGAGCACGAGGAGCGGAAGTTCTCAGACTTCGGATACGATGATCTGTTGAAATCAACCGCAGGTTGGGGCAGTAGCTCAAAGCAGGGATCTGATGCCGGTAGGCCCAACCCTAATACTGCCAAATCTGAGTCTTATGATGGCGAAGGTTACAATTTTGCGGATGAGGAGGAGAGCCATTCGCGCCGAGATGCAGGCAGCCGTGCGACTGCAAGGACTAGTCCCGCCGCTGCCAAGTTTGAGGTCGATGATGATGACGAGTATGCCGCGTTTGCGGATCGCCGTGATGAGGAGGAGGACCAACCACGACGAAATGCTAGGATTCGTGATGCTGCGAGGCCCAGGAGCCTCTCTCGTGGAGCCGTCAGGGACCTTCGCGTTGACAGGGATGCCCGAAGCGAACGGGAGAGAGCCAGGGAAAGTCGGGAAGTTCTTCGGGAATTGGAGGCTATCCATGACCGTGAGGGACCGGTAGGTCCCCCGGCGATTGGTGATACCCCGAATGTTCCCCCTTTTCCCAACCTTACGTTTGGAGGTCCGTTAAATCAGAGAGACGTGAACTCGAACCGGGTTACTGGTTCGCCGAGAGTCACTGAGCGGGTTGCCGATGTCGTTGGGAGAGGTGCAAGAGATGGCCGGCTTGCCGATGCACTCGGAATCGAGGATCGTCCGTCGATCGCTAGCCCGTTAGGGCGAGATACCAGTGACCTTGAAACGCTAAGGTCTAGCAACGAGTTCACACCTCAATGGGGTTCGACTGCCAGGGAACGTAGTGTTTCTGCGAAAAGACCGTCACCTCTCGCCGCTGAGACCGATAGGTCAAAGGCGAGGAGGGCTAGCCCCTCACCAATGGATTCAACTCCGCAGGATGAGGAGATGCCCGATCCCGCTGATGTTCACATTCACTCCACCCCCGAGTCACGTGCATCCAACATTGGTCCTCGATCTGGCGATAGCCGGAGAAGGGGATCTACCCCGAGTAGACCATCCAGGATTGATGATTGTCCCGTGGATGACCCTAGAAGACATGCCGGGGCTAGTGGGGCTCCTGAGAGGATCGAGATATCGACTCCTCCCGCCCTCAGATCCCAGTCTTCCGGCGAATCAGGTGACGCTAGGGCGAAGGAGGTGTTCGATTTGCACATCCAGGAGATGCTCGAGAGAGATGAGGTTTCTGGCTCAGTCGCGAAGGCGTTCCACATCTTTGCTGACCAAATCAGGGTACTGAACGGTCAGGTGAGTTCCATGCGAAGGGAATGGAGCGACGAGAGTCAACGGACGAAGGACAAGGTCGATCGCCTGGCAGCTGAGGTTGCGACTCAATCTGATGCCGGGAGGATGCGAATGATAGTTCAGCGGTTTGCGAGGGAAGTTATTCCCGACAGCAAAGCCATTGTGAGGCAAGCCATCGATGAGCAAGCCGAGGTCGTGGAGCAGAGAATTAACCTACTGTCCCACGAGGTCCATGAATCTGTCAGGGACAATGAGGCATCGACTGATCGGCTTCGCCTGATGATTCAGGAGAATAATGAGGCTGCCCGCAGGAGCCATGACGAGATCCTTAAGGATTTGGACAAGCTTGAGAAACGGATGTTCTCGGTAGAGAAAACCGTTGGGATGCGGACACCGGCAGGTGTATGGAATCCGAATCCTGTCGCGCATCCGTCCGATAGGGCCAGCGGCAGTGTAGTCGATGCAAATTTCAGGGAGTTAAACCTGAAGATCGAGAAAGCTCTCCTTGATCACGAGACGTTTGCCAAGTGGGCCTCTGAATCTATTGAAGGGGTCAAAGAAGAGCACACTCGTCTTGTTAATCGAGTGTCTAGACTGCAGAGTGGAAGGGGTTCTCAGGAGGTCGATAGACCATCAGGGCATGATTCCCCGCAGGACTGGCATGAGGCTGTTGACGAGATCAATCGGAAGATGCAGGATCTGGCTCGAGGAATTCAACGTCAACGTCGGGATCATGACGACATCATTTCTAGGTTTGAAACCGTGAAGTCACATGTTGAACAGTATGAAGCGAGATCGGCAGTTGTGAATCGGGTCGTTGATGGCATCCAAGGACAGATCCGTAATCTTCCTGCCAGCAGTGACCAAGTGCAGCCTGCCGTTAGGCGAGAGCTCGGCACATTCCGGAGTACACTTGAAGGTGTTATGCGGAGAGTCAGCGCTATCGATGGTAACGTACGTAACCTTAGCGCCGCGAACAACAGAATCATGTCCCAGCTCTTTGAGATGGAGGGTCAATTTGACGAGGCTGCTGGCATTATTCAGGGTGTCCAGCAGATTAATGAAGCTCCTCCACAACCCAGAGAAAGACGGAATGTTGGTTACCATGCATTTGCGGGGCAAGGACATAGGATCAGGTCACCGACGCCTACACCAGGGGAAGGTGACGGCCGGGGTACTGGCCTGCCGGTGAGACCAGGCGGAGGCGTTGTTTTGCCTGATCATGTTTTGCCGAATGTGCCCGATAGGGTCGATCCTTCTCGCGCAGACAGGCATCCCATCTATCCCGTTAGGGAGAGGTCCGACAGCAGGAGCAGGAGGGTTCGGGGGTTGCCTGACAGGTCACATTCGCCACCGGAGCGTGCAAGGGGTGGTCCCCGCGCGCGCGCAAGGGGGGACGTTTCTATTTCCCCCAATAGGGATGCGGGTAGGAACAGGAGCCCGAGGCCTGCTGCCGTCCCCGATAGGGGATCTGAGGTCCGGAGTCGACAACCGCCGATCCGCGATAGCGGGAGCGTCTCTCCGAATTTTGATAGGCCGATCCGCGATAGCGGGAACGTCTCTCCGAACCCAGGTCGTCATTCAGGAGGTGGTGGGGATAATAGGGTTCATGCCGACATCCAGAGTCCTGGTGATGAGTGGAGGACTCCTGGGAGTAGAGCCAGCGCCGACACCCAGAGTCCCGGCGATAGGCGAGGGACTGCTGGAGCTCCTTCGGATCGTGGACAGGCCTCAGCGCCGGCTGCAAGAGGGGGTCCGGGCGGTGATGGCCCAGACGCGCCAAAGATTTGTGCCCTCGATGATCCCAACGACCGTAGGCACCCGAATGCTGAATTCTCGTGTGTGACATGCAGTCGTGAGTTCTGCGGGCTTTGCCGTGGTGACGACGGGGACTGTTACAATTGTCAGTTCCTGAAGATGAAATGCTGGGCATGCCGCAAGAATGCTCAGGAGGTCTCCATGTATCTCTGTACGGATTGTGGGACTCACGTCTGTGAGAATCACAGTTACTTCGGAAATGACGGCCTTGAGCGATGTGCACGCTGCAATATTCGGCATGAACGCGCTCAAGCTGGACCGCCCCCTCCTCCTCCTCCCGGGGGAGGAGGTGGGCAAGGCGGACCACCTGGTCAAGGTGGGAGCGGAAGTGGTGGGCATGGACATGCCCCAGCTCCACCGCCAGGTCCGGGATTATGGTGGAGGCCAGGATCCCGCTGGGCCTTCTGGAGGCCCGAGTGGAGGGGCTCCTACCGGGGGTTACCCTGGTGGAGCGCCTGGGTTCCACGGTAGTGCTGCGGATACTCATGGAATTGGGAACAATCAATGTGGTTCCAGTTTCTATGGTCCTGCCTACGGAGGTGGCGTTAGTCACCAAGGGGTTGGCGCTGGCGTTAGTCAGTCTTGCAATGCCACGGGTTACCCCTCAAGTGTTGCGAGCGGTGGTAGCCTTGGGCCTGGTCTTAGCCTCGGCTATAGTGTGAATGGTGCCGGTAGGCAGGGAGATGGTGGTCTTCTCCCTGAAGCCTTGAGGGGAGATGATGGACGGGACAGGTGCACTAAGTGTAACAGGATCCCTGAGCCTGGTTTCCCTCTTGTTCCTTGCGTTGGTTGTGGAATGAGGGCGTGTGAAGTTTGCTGCCCTATGCCTGCTAGACTGTGTGAAAGTTGCAGGATTACCTCGTGTACCCCGATAGGGGCTCTTATTTCCACCGTTGTCGA